TTTTACCTTTTCCCGCTGGATGTCATTCTTGATCTGGGATATCTTGATCTTCATGGCATCCAGCTCCTCATCAGGTACCAGGGGGATATTAGGCACTGCCTCAGACTCATCCACCATTTGGAAGCTGAGGTCAGTGAGGGGGATGTACCATTTGCAGTCATATTGTTGGCTTTTTCTGAAAGGCAGAAGGTCCAACCCTTTTACTATTACTGATGTTGGGGAACACCCACTCCTCTTTCCCACAAGTCCTTCCCTGCCATAATGCTTAAGGTATGGGCCCACTTTTACTGTGATTCCCATGTGGAAAAAGTCTGGCAAAAGGCTGGTACAGCACCTAACAAGGCAACTCATTTTGTCATYTGGTTCTTTTCATCCTAACACAAASCACATCCATCTCCTGCAAACMCTTTCAGTTCCACGTGCTCTGTCTYTGAAGYCTCTGGTGAGGCAAAGCTCTGMAACAGTGCCACMCCYGTGACCTGGTGATCCCCTGGGATCTGAACCCRGCTCTCTCCTGCCTGAGCCAGGGCCAAATGGGGCAGATGGGCTGATGGACAGAAACCTCTGTGTAATCCAACCAGGGGAGAGAAACTGCACCTCATACCTGCCATTCTGCAGGGATTTYACCAGGAGAAGCAGCTCACTTTTTTAATGTTTTACGTTATTTATTCCCTCTTCTCCACTACTGTCAGGAACAGCCACTCTTGGGAATGTCCCACTCCTTTGAAGGTTCACATCTCACAAGCATGTGCTTTGGAAAGGGCAGGCATTACTTTTTGTTTGAGAAGGGCAAGAGGATGAAAGGTCTCCCCAAGAAGAATGTTTACCAAATGAAGAAAAGCCCCAYTTGAGGCAAGTACATTGGTAATGGTTCCTCCCCCCTCATTCATTTGTGAAATAGGTCAACAAAACCGTTTTTATAGCTGCACTTTGGGGTTGACACATAGTCTGTTTACTGCACCTTTGCCATTTTTCTGTAAAACTGCTAACAGTCTGTAGCTGCMAAGCCAAAATTAACAGCTTTAGTCATCAAAGAAAGTGAATACTGTCACCTATTAAAAGAAAGGGGAAGTAGAAAAACAAATGTCATTTGTCCAGAATACCAGCAGCTACAGCATATACCACTTTCCTAGGTAGGCTCAGGGCAGGGATGGGAGGAATTAACCTTTCTTTAGGGATCAGGACTTAGGATCTCATACAGTAAACATTCCTACCTTGCTGACATTCCTTGTCTAACTAMATCTTGTAGACTATGGTTACCCAGGTCTGGGGTATCCACACACAACTAAAACTGCTGGCTAAACCCAGGATTCTGTTGGAGCTGAGGGGCAAAGAAAGTCCAAAAGGAAAACCTCACCCTCCAATCTGCTTCTTGAGCTTGGCACACAGGAAGAGATCAGTAAAAAGAAAGACATGACGTAGCTTGCGAGCTCCCTCCACCAGCTCCACCATGAAACTGTCCTTCAGCAGCTGCCGGTGCTGGGGAAAAAAACAGGAAAAAATGTTTCAGTGCAATGTGAACTTCAAATTTGGCACTGGGGCAACTCAGTCCTTAGACATGACTCCTACCAGAGCAAATTCAGTAAGTTTGTCTAATTCAGAAAWATAAAAAAGTCTATTAAATATTTCTTCCTGTCAACTTTGCTCCCTGCTGCAGCCCTCTCTCCCAGAGGCAGAAGAAGCATAGCCCTTTCTCCCCTACTTAGTGCTGGGTCAGACTTCAGGCTTCTCTCCATCACCTGCTCCCGAGCCCAAGTGTGATTTGTGGGAGTCACTGCCCAGTTCCTTCAKAGAATCCCAGAATCCCTGAACCSCTGTGAGCGGATGGTCCCCTCCCGAGCCAGCAGAGAGCAGCACACACCGCTTCTCCCAGAGTCACTTCCAGACTTCCCAGTCTCTGCATCAGCTTCGGCCCCGCAGCAGGAGAGCAAAGCCCTTCTCGACCCCCTCCCCTCCATTCACAGCATGACTTTATCAACATCAACATCYGAACGCCATTGCTCCTTCTTAGTTATTCGTGCTGTTGAGGATAATTCCTGAACATGTGTACCTGGCAAACTTCTCAGGAGTCCCCTATCAGCCTGTGCTTTAATAGGACCATCTGGATGTACCCCCAGCACATGCCTACTGAAATCTTTATATATCATATAAAGATTCCCCAAAACTAGAAGATGCAAAGAAACTGCCCAACTCTGACACCTTTAATCCTGCTTCTAGTTCCAGGAAGTTTTACAACCTCCTAAAGAAGGGGCATAATTGGTAGGCAAAAGCACTGCTTTCCTAATTCCCTTGTGGGGTGGGTTCCATAGTGAAAAGGCCAAAAGTCTGGAAGGTTGGCACTTAGGTGGCTGTGTGCTGGTTCCAGTGRCCACATCAGGAGTTTCATGCCTTGCTCCGTGCTCAGGCTCTCCACTCTGCCATCAGGACCAGCAGGATTCAAGTGCACACCCAGAACAGACACCTCCTGCTCATTTTCAAACAGAAGTTGGGGCATTCGACTCTGGGCAAGTTTTATTTCCACCAATATGTGTAAGTGTCAGTTTTGTCTCACTTCACAGCCAGTACAAGCAGGAACCATCAGCTTCCCCACATATGCTCAGGAGCTCTTCCCTGACCTGTACTTTGTTATTCCAGCTAAGAAGATGCTCCTCTGACACCACTAAGTGACGTCAGCCATCCCGTATCTGCCTAGACAGCGCTGTGGCTGGAGACAGGAGAGTTCTGCTAACCCTGCCCAGGGCTAACCAGCACCTCCTCAGTGCCAGTCCTGCCCAGGACTCACCCAGAGTCCCTGCTGCCCTGCCCCATGGCCATGACACCCCACTGGGAACGCACGCACAGAAGGGTCTCCACGGGGCAGCACCACGAGAGCAGCTCCCTGCTGGCAAGGCCAGGACACCCACACCACAAGTGATGCCTCAGTTTGCTCAGTGATGCCCCTGGGTGCTATTTGCTTCGTGATTTACCAAGCCCTGAGCACATTCCCTGCCGAGGCTATGGGAGTGCAAACCCTGCACTGCCTCTCCTTCCACCTACCGTTCTTCCATCTTGGCTCTCCAAAATGAAAACAAACCACATYAGTCCTGAGCCCAGCAGGCATCATGGCAAGGAACACGTGGCAAAGAAATGCCCTTACAGACATAATTCTTGTTTCCACAGTGGGTCCCACAGCACCCTACACTTCCTGACAGGGACTGGGAGCCTGCATTTTCCTGTCTGCAGCTGCACGGGCACCGCAGCTACCTGTGAAAACACAGAGCAGTGTCAGCAGCTCATCCTGCTGCTGCCTTCCATCACACAAAGGTCCTGCAAATCTGTGAGCAGAGCAGCAAAAGCTGYACCTTTCCCACAGCTGCAGGAAGCAAAGCTGCTCCCTGGCAGTCAGCTGTACCATCTCTGGGCAGGACTCTGGGGAGATCTGGCATCCAGCAGTGATGCAGCTCAGAAAGGCCTGTACATATGTTAGCATTTATTTTTAGRTGGGTGTGATCCTCCTGGCTTCTCCTCTGGTTTTGAAGAGAACTCCTGCCTTTGCTGCTGATGGGCACTGGAGCATGCCTTTCCCTCCTGCCTGGAGAGCAAACCCCAGGTAGGAAACTAGAAACACTGAGCTTTAAAAAYAAATAAACAGGAGGAGGTATGTTGTCAGTAGCAAGAACATTCTCCACTCCTGYGAAGAATTCCATTTGGGAGCAATAATAAGCAGGGAAAGATATTTTCTGAGCAAGCCAAAACCCTGATCTCAGGTTTCTAGATCTGATGCATATTAATTACACTGCAAATCAGCTCAGCTCCTCTGGGGCAATGAGAATAGCTGCTTGCTGCCAGCTCAACCTCTGCTCATTGTTCGTAGGTGTAAAGATGTTCTCACAGCTTACTCATCTCTGCTACGCAGCAGGATGTGGCACTGTCCTTTCCCTGCCTGGCAGGGACATGGCACAGTCCTGACCTGTCCACTCTTCCAGGCACTGGCAGTGTGTGAGATGCACCAGGGCCTCAGCCCAGCCCCCTGCCAAGAGCACATCTCCCCAGAACCYGGGCAGAAAACTCAGCCATCCCATGCCAAATGACTGCACAACCCCCACAGTTCCCACCTGGGGCTGAGGTGGCACTGGGTCACCCTGAGTTTGTTTGGGYTGGCACTCCTGGGAACCAAATCCTCTGACTGACACAGACACAGTGGAGCCCTGAGGCAGCAGAAAGTCCCACAAAGAAAGCTGGGTGGGACAAGCCTGTACTTCCTAAGTTTGGCTGGAACTGAAGGGAAGAGGTGTAAAGGGATATATTCCAGTCACTCAAGAGGGAAACACCTTCACATCTTCTTGCTCATGGAGCTAGTTGGGAAGGTCTCCCTCCAGCAAGCAGCAGGGGTGAACAGCCCGAGAGCAACTGAGCATGTGGGGAGGCGAGCACAGGAGAAAACATTTGTGGATCAAGTCAGGAATTCTCTCCTCACTACCAGCTTTTCTTGGAAAAGAGAACTTTCATTAGAGCTGGGCACAATAGGCATGGCCCAGGCTGCTCAGCATCCGTGGGGCTGAGGAGGGGCACTTCCAGCAAACGGGCACATCCTTTGCTGCACATGAGTCATCTTGCCTGAGGTTCAGCAGGTCAGAGGGAAACAATAAAAGGATTTCCCAATGGCTTACCAGATCCCTGCCAAACCCCACAGTGTGGGAGCAAAGGGCACCTTCCTGGACCTCCTGATGTGAGTCAGCCCATCCTCTCCCACCCTGGGGGAGCCAGCAGCTCCCTCAGTCAGGGCTTGTGCCACTCAGRGAGCTGAGCCACCTCAGCTCTGCATTGTGAAACCAACACTTTGGGCCACCAACTGCTACTCCTTCAGTGGCCTCCTGTTAAACAGGGTGTCCTGAAACACAAGGTTTTGTGGAGTCATCCTTGCAGTACATGACATACAACAGCTCACACGTGGGAAACCATCTCTCTCCCTTGTCCCCAGAGTTACTCTGTTAAGCTTATCRAAGGTGCTGAAAGTTTCCTAAAATACCCTGAAATGACATGGACTACAGAAACACCAAATAAACACCCAAGAGAACATAAGATTAGGGTGATAGGRAGACAGTGGCAGGAGTGGCAGAGTGACACTCCTTCTCTTCCAGCACATGAGCTCAGCTCAGCAGAAAGATGTTCCAGGAAGTGTGGGGGAAAAGTCCCAATTTCCTATCATAATAGAGKGAATTAGGATCATCTTTAATCTCTCACACAAGGCCTATGCTGATACCTTCAGTGGCTCTTGCAAAGCTCCTGTACTGGTGCAAAATAAGTTCCAAGTCTCTTTTCCAGGGCCCTGCTTTTCTCTGCATGTTTTCATCTGCTTCTTCTCCCACCCACCTCAGTGCTCTGAACAAAAGAGCTCTCCCTGTACCTTTTCCAACGCTTGGTTATCCTCTTTGGATTGCCTRTTGCTGTCCTCCTCCTCCTCTTACCTTTGTCACTGAGCATCTTCCCCTCCTCTGCTACAATCTCACGACTACCTGGGTGCTCATCTATTCATCCTACGGTGTTTTTGTGCTGTTTGCATATGATMAATCCTGCTGCTGTCACAGGCTGATTAACTCCAGGAAGTGTGGCCAGCTTGTCTGAGACACGTTACAAAAAGTGGAATTGAAAAAGCTACTGGAGCAGATGCRCAGCTGTACAAAAGGCCATCTCTCCACTCGTGTGATGAGAGGAAGGAGCACGTGCGAGGTGGTGACAGCAGAGTCCTGCAGCGTGYGTGGGTGAGAGCCCCACAAAGGGCTGGCACATGTGTGAGGCAGAGGAAGGAGGGGAAAACCAGGAGWTGGCTATTGGCACATGTCAGTGAGGAAGAGGTGGTTTGGCTTTCTGCAGAGCGTAGGAAGAAAATGATTCCTCGTGTGTGTGCGGGTGTTGCAAGACCAGCACTGCAAAAAAAGAAAAAAAAAAAAAGGGATGCTCTGCCTAGGGAGTTAAACTGGCTGCTCTTGGAGCATTTTAACAGCCTCTTACTTCTTCCCAAAGCTCCTGTCACCAGGAGCTCTCTGGCTCCAGCTGTAAGACAGAGAGTGAAGCAGCCAAGATAATTTCTGAGTGCTCTATTGCCAACATGTGCCCAAGGCCTCCAGGAGCAGTAGGCACCAGGTCCCATGCTGTGCATGGCCATGTCTAATCTTCATTTCCAGMTTTTCAAAGGCTTCACTTTGCACTTCTGCTCCTTTGCACATGTCCTTTGTCCTTTCCCCTCTCTAGCACACTGGGTCTCTATGAAGTCAAACAGAAGCCTAAGGCAATGGTACCCAGTCCCTCAACTGTTTCTAGATTAAAACCACATTTAGAAACATGGCAGTGCAGCTTGCCAAGCAGCCTCTTCTCTCCAGGGCAAGGGCAAAGGTGTACCCAAGCACAGGCTGGTCTGTGATGTGATCTACTGGGCTTGATCCCAGAAAAAGCTGCCCCTCAGCTCCCTGAGGCTGGTGAGACCAGACACGAAGCCACTCAGCCAGCAGTGACCCAAAACTCCAGGTTCCATTCCTCCATGCCWCTGTGGGATCACACAAATACCAGTGTGAACACTTCAGAAAGGGTGGGAGTGCATGGCCAGGGCAAGGCAGAGCGGCAGCCACCACACTCAGGCTGGTCAGAACTGCCCTGGAACAACACTCTGCAAAGAGCAGGAGAGGAGGAGCAGTCAGGAAAGCAAACACCACCTCCCSAGTGAACTCTGCAATTTTTTGCAGTTTCATTAATTCCTGCTTTGCACAAATGGACTGAATTAGCTGGAAACAGCAGCCTTTACTTCTGACAGGGAAAAACACAAACTCTACACACATACAATCATTTGCATCTGGCTTAACTGAAAAAACCCAACATGCAGTACCTGGAGCTGTTCTGTTAGTAAGACTAAAGAAGGTTATTACTGCCCTCCTTCTGCACACAACAGTGGAACGTCCTTCATCCCAAAGCATTTGTTTTCCTTCTTCCCCAGCAGAACCTTAACCTCATTTCCTATTTAAGCCAAGACAATCGTGGTGCAGGAGGATGAGCAGGGACAAGGAAGGTGCCTGTTCCATGGTCCCAAGGGGTGGGTGACTCCCCACCACTCTGATTTTGTGTCACAAAATACAAGGTTACTAAGCCCCCCCTTCCCCTCCAGGCATTTGCTTGGTTATTTAGAGGGTTAACAAAGTGGACACCTGTAGATAATTCATTAAAAAAAAGGTAAAACTATAAAAGTAGAAAGATGGGAAGAAAAGAMGGGAGCAAGGGAAYATAGTGGATCAATTTGAATGGAAACAGACCCAAAAGGCCAGAAAACCCCCCTGGCTGCCCTGTGTTGCCAGGCTGGGGCTGGGGCTCTCCTGGCTCCTCTGTACCATGTCAGCAGACAAGTCTGCCACAGKCAGTAAGGATCAAACCCTCTGCTCACAGGCTCAATACACCAATATTGCCTTCCCTGCCACAGCCCTTTCTGCMCCTCAGAGAGGGATTTTACTCCCTTTGTTCCCATCTCTTTGCACTACCTGAAAYACTCATCCAGCCCAGCAAATTAAACCACATGACAGAAACCTTCCAGTTCCTATGCAAAAGTGTCAATTAGAACAAAGCCCGTGGAGGCAGCAGAAGCAGAGGCTGCAGTGCAGGGTGGGCACCTGGCACCAGCAGGGAGCCAGCAGGCAGGGCACTGCCCCAAAGCAGGGATCACCTCTGCACAAGACAAGAAMGCTGTGCTGATGAGCCTGTACTCTCTCCTGACCTGCACTCCCCTCTCAGCAGCCTGTCACTAGGGAGATTAACAACTGGCTGCTTCCCCCAGTTCAAAGCAATCCTGAAAAAAAGAGCTGGAGCAAGAGGCTGGCAAAGGAGATTTGATTCCTCCTCACGACGCACTCAAAGGGAAAAAATATTCTACATAAAAGGCAAGGACTGGGGAAAAAAGATAACTGAGATCAGCACCTAAGCAATACGTGAGGGGAAAAGGCTGCTTTACCCTCYTTCCTTTCCACCAAGGAAATTTAAATGGGAGGAAGACAAATAATGAAAAAAGCCATCAAAGCAAGCTGGTGATTCATTAAAATAAAAAATGCATTATGCATTGAGAGCAGTCAATTAGGAGATGCAATCCACACACTGTCCTGTCACCCCGGGGGAAGCACCAGCAAGGCGAGTGGGAGGAAAGGATAAGTAGAAAAGGAAAGATTTACAGGCATAAACAAAACCCAGCTATGACCCCAAGCTGAGCAGCTTGTAGGAAGGAACAGCCATCACTTACCCACACAGAGTAGCTGGGAGCAGATTTGTGTCTCTGGATTACTACATGGAGAGTGAACATACCTACTCTCAGGACACAGAGGRGTTCAACTGGGGCACTACTGCTTTGATAAAAATGGGATACTGGTGCCAARTGACTGAAGGAAATATTCACAGGCACATTTGCAGAGTGAAGGCAAGTCCTTTTCCCTGGGCTCAGTAAAAGCAGTGAGGGAGGGCACAGAGGGATCCCGTCCCCCCAGCACAGCCACAGCCCTCTCCTCTGGCACGTCCTCTTGCTCCCTCCCTACATCACAGCTGCAGCCACAGAAGACAGTGAGAGTGTGAACACTGAGCCCCATCCTGCCCACCATGCCTCCCCTTCCTCCTTTCCAAGATCTGACAAATACACCGCTCCAAAAGGCAATACCAGGATCATCCTCCTGAAGCTGCCCCTCTGCCTGGGCTCTGGCACCTCATTAGGATTCTGCCTGACACTTTTCAAAGCCTGCACCCCTCATTGAGATGCTGACAGACAAGCAGRGAACACAAAATCCTCCCTCCCCTGYGAGGGGCATTCTAGCCTGGCTTTCTGCTATGACTCAATCAGCAGCCACTTTAACGAGGCCATACAGCATCACTGAGGCACCGGTGACTGATGTCTGATGTCTGAGCTTCTACCTCAGCCTCCAATTGCTCAGCCCCTCCTTTTCTCAGCTGCAAACATCCTCGGTTGACAAAATGAGACAATGAGCAAGACTTGCAGGACAAAGTGCACCAAATTCCCAGTACTGCAGCTTCCAGCAAATCTTTTTKTCAGCTGAAAATCAGTTTAACAGCTAAAAGCAAGCGTGTTTAGCTGTCACGATTTGGGAACAAATAATGAAGGTTCATGGTATCTTAACAATCTCCTGGGCTTTGTAAGGGATGTTTTTGTACAGGGTAATTTGGGTCACTGTTGATCAGTCCATGTCTGGAATGCTGCCACAATTCCTCTTGCACATTCACTAAATGAGCTACACCTCTCTTTGTCCAATCTACATCTTTCTCTCTTTCTCAACACTTCTGCCAGTTCTGGCCTTTCTTCATCAGGAGGGACTGAACCCCTTTCTAATGGGATTATCAGGCAGCTGAATCAAGCCACCGAGGAATGCAGGACTCCACCATGGAGCAGCCCTGTGGCCTCCTTGCACAAAACTGCATGAGAAGGACCTGCACATCTTGGACCTTTCTGGGTGCAGYCCAGCCCCTAAGAGAGCTCACAAAGGTTCTATTACACTCTTAGAAGGGTTATATTGCACCCTTAGGATCAATCTCCCTGGCTTTCTCAACCCATTTGTTTTGCTTTGTCTCCTTCAGAAATAAGGATGCAGAAATCTCATTTTATGGTGAAAATGAAGATTCTGGAAAACAGCCCTTCCTCATCTTTCATGACTTCTGATGTTTCCTCACCTTCTTCTCCTCCCAGGGTTCCCAATCCATTCAGTGCACAGCAACGTGCGTCATAGAAATTATGTATGACAAATGATTCTAACAATGCTAAGGACAAAATTCCAACCACACTTTTCCTCTCGGTTTCCAAACTGTTTTCTGAACAGAAAACAGAGGGAGCTGTACCACATCCTTTAGAGAACAAGGACACTGCATAAACTGTATCTTAGCAACAAACAGATTAACAGCACAACTTCCTAGTCAGCTCTAGAGAAAAGACATAACCAGTATTTAGAAACTGAGAAAATAACGAGAGCAAGAAGACTCACCTCCCCTTTCTTCACAGTCATGGATTGCCGGCGAGGAGTGATCTCCTCGTTGATGCTGGAGAGGAAATTCTGYGAGATGCGCAGAGCATCCTGCAGCAGGGGATGGTCAGGGTGGCTCACTGGAGTGTGCTTGAGCAAATCCTGGCAGCAGGAACACAGAGAAATCAACTGTGAGCAGCACTGGAGAGCACAAGGGCTCGAGGGCCCCTAATTAGAGCTGTAGGACAAGATGCTCCAGCTTCTTCACATAGATTAGAAGATAATAATACTCTTCGCTCCTAGGCGACACCACTGAAGAGACAGCAGTGGACTCCCTCTCCTTAGTGTAAAGGGAAGAGGCTCTTATGCAGCACAACAGGTTTATTTTCCCAGTCCTGCAACTCCATGGAAAATTTGAAGGTCAAAGAAAATAGGAAAAGGGACTAAAGTTTGAAAACTACCCTTCAGATACTTACATGCAAGACAAGTGTGCTGCGAGTCACTCGGTCCACTGGCTTGTACAACAGAGCTGTGAAAAAAAAAAGCAGCAGGAATATAAGGAAGAGTGAGTRTGGAAGCTTCTTCTAACATTGGTTGCCTTCTACTCATAGCAGAGACACAAGCACCRTGGAACCTGATCTTGACCAGGCTCTCTAAGTGTCCCCATAAAGCCATTACTGCTGGGGTTGTGTTTGTGCTATCACTGGGGAGCAGATGTTCTCCTAAAATCACAGCAGACCTGGCTGGGCTGGCTTTGCCCAAAGGCACTGATGAGGTTTGAAGGCAGGAGGCACTTCCCCATCCATGCAGCCTACTCTGTACTTAGCAAAAGGCAACTGACTCCCCAGGTAGAGCCAGCAGACTCCACAGCCTTCCACCATTCAAAAAGAAAAAGGGAGAGTGGAGGTTTAGCAACAGCCTCCACGCAGTCCTGACAGACCAGTCTCCTCTGCAAGGATCACTCACTTTCCAAGGAATTTTTCGTCGTCTGATCTTTAGATTCCTTTGTGCTTCTGGCCTTTAGATTCTAAAAGAAAAAGAAAACCCACGTAGCAGATGGTCAATCACCTTGAAATATCACATGGGAACACAACAGACTATCTGCTCCTCCAGGGGAGGGCCTAAGTGTGAAAGGAGGACASCCCTATCTCAGTTCATGTCACTGATGGAAAACTCTGCTTTCCTTCTTGGTAAATCCACCACTGCCATGTCACAGGCAACCACACATCCCAAATATTAAGCCATGTTCTTAGGAACACCTGTCAATAGAGATACAGCAAAGCAGGGAGCCACCTACAGCAACAGGGATGGGAGAGTTCTTAAATCACCTGCAGAAGAAAGGAGTCCATAGGGACACAGCCACTGTCCCAGCACCAACAAATAAAGTACAGGATTGGGATTCAGTACCCCCCGGTTATACTTCTTATTCCTGTATTCAGAGCTGGGTGACCTTGGACAAGTCAATTCTCTCACAGCAGCAAAGGAACACTGTCTGACTCTGCTCTTTGCCATGGGCCATGACATGCATTAATGTGCTCAGCTCCAAAATCCTCACCGAGACACAAAGGCAAAAGTACCATCACTGTCATTCCAAATACAGCAGATGCTGGCATGATTTCAGAATTCTTCTTTAGAAACAGCAAAATGAAGGGATCRTATTTTACTCTTTATCATAAAAGTYTCAAGGGACATGAGATATAGRATGTTCTCAGGAGTTTTCTCAGAGCACTAAATGCCCTTATTATTTATCTGGTTGTTTTTAAGGAGACACATACGAAATTTCGTGCTTTCTTGGCAACTGARTTCTTCAAGAAACAATCACTGCATTACAAAGGGTTAATGAGACCCTGCACTGCAGGAAAGCTACTGGTCTGGGAAGGTGAAAAAGTATTCAAAATGCTTTGACACAGGTATTCCTCTGACAGAGCAGGCCAAAGAATAATATCATATATTTACAGTTGCCACACTTGCCTCTCCTCTCCACACCAGTGAAGCCTGCAATCCYGCTGACAGCCACAGTGGAAGCCATTAAGAATAGCTTTTACACCACAGCCAGAATCACCATTAGCAAGAGAAATATTTGAGAAACTCACAGAAAGCTTTCCCTTCTAGAAATGCATGAAGGTGGCACAGAGCTGGAGAAGTTCAAAGCAATGCCAGTTTTCACCAGATTCCCCRTGTCTGTGCCCAGCCCAAGGTACAAATCAGCGTAAGAAGAGGAGGTGAAGCTGGGAGTCTGTGGGAGCTCACAACTCCTCCAGAAGGCAGGGCTGCAGAGGTACTTGGAGAATAGACAGSAGTGACATGGCAGGGTGTTAGTCAGAGCCAGACACTCGTGTGTCTGAACACCGTGACATTACCTCAGAGATTTCAGCAAACTGAGCATTGGCTTGGCAGCATTTCTCTGCTGTCTCCATAGCAACTTCATAGTTATCCACAAAGGCCCGGTACACTCCCAGCTGGCTGGCCTGCAGGAAGCAAAACAAAATCAAATAAATGCCGGGGAAGAAGGCAGCTTGGGATGGCCAGCCTTGGTATCCAACGATCAGGCCATGTTCCTTCACACCAAAGAGCTGCAGGCAATGCTGAGCRGGCCCAGAAAAACATCTCTGACCTGTCAACTTGGTCTAACCAGCACTGGTACCCCCATGCACCCAGTTCCATCCTATGCTGAAAAGTTCACTTGTGAAGGATATGAAAGCCTACAAGAATGACACATCCTTATTACTGACATCTATTTTTCCCTTCTGAACTGCCAGATTAGTATCTATTAATATTGCAGCTCATTGATGTAACTGGAGCTGCTGGCTTTTTGCCACAACACATGAATCAGAGAGGAATGATTCAGCCCAACAGCAMAAATGTGACCCTAGTAAGCTACTTGTTGGCTTTTGCATGATGGATACACTAAATCAAAGCCAGATATTACCCATATCTCCATTAGTGAACATTATTGTAAGGGCAGCAGAGTGCTGAAAATGCAGAAGAGAGATCCAGAGCACAATCTGTTTGGATGGCAGTGACTGGGGCACTAGGTGACAGAAAATGGCAGTTTTTCCAGCAGAAGGAATATGGAATTGGTCCAGAAGAGGATGGAACAGGCCTCAGAGTGCAGTAACAAGTCATTATTATCACAGAGTCTTAGCACTGATCCCATTTGCTGACTTAGGAACTGCAGCCATATCCATGCCAGAGAACACAAGATCCAGCCTGGGAAATCCCTGGGCAGCCTCCAAGCTTGTCTGGAGTGCAGAGCTGGCTTTGTGCTGCAGAGCTGCCAGGCTGGGCTGGGAACACCTCGGCAGCCTGAGCCTGCAAGGGCCCAGCAGCAGCCAAGGGTGCAGTAAGGAGATGTTGTTGACAGAGGGGCTGCACTCACCTCATCACTGCTGCACCTTCCCTGACCCTTCTGCCCCAGAGGCACAGCCAGTGCTCCTTCCCTCTCCTGCTCTCTCCACCCATCGTGCTYCCCATCCTCTGGGGAGCTTTGTGCAAGAGGTGATGGAAGAGAAAAAGCCACTGTCAGGACAACACTCCCTGCTCTAACTCAGCTGACAGAGGCTGACAAACAGTGAGCTATTTCCTAGGTCACATCTTACTGAAAGACTAGAAACCAATCTCAACCCTCATACAAAATGACACAGCTAGGACTGAAGCTGAAGAAAACTGTTCACTTATACCAGGGATGACCCCAGCAGCGTGGAGAGAATGAAATCTCTATTTGCCACTGGGGCACAATCCTGTGAAGATGCTGCTATCAGAATTACTGACCATTTGCAGGGCTATGACATTTGGATTCAGATGATGCCACTAACATGGCAGAGCTTTAGAGTTTCTCCATTCCCACGTGGTTCTTTCATTTCCTGAACAGCCTTTCTAAGCTTTCATTTTCCTCCTTTGAATGTGCCATCGCAAAGACATCTTTTTCATTAAAAACTGATCTTCAAATCAAAGCAATAATGCTCACAACACCATTTCCATACTGGTTTAATTCTTCTCTTTTTCAATTAGAAGAACACACTGAAAATGAAACAAGTGTTGGTAGAAACACCAGGCTTTTAGATATATTTTTTTCTATTTCTGAAATCTATCAGTGAGGATGTTTTCTAAATATTTCTTCATTTCTAAAAACAGCTCTAAAGAGTTTCCTTTCTAGCTATAAAAAATATGTACAATATATTCCCCAAAAATGAGAAGCGTATTTCACTCCCACATGCCTGGCATCTTTTCTTTTCCTCAACAGGAAAAGGTGTAATAACAGTCAATTTGATGCTGCAAATAGATTGTACTTTGTGCCAGAACACATGAAATTCTAAAACTCTTTGCATCCACTRTCTGTAACTTCCATCTATTATGCTGGTTTTGCATGAGAGTACAGAAAATTCATGTCCCCAGGGACATGTGGGTCATAACAAGTATTTCAGTGTTTATCATCAGACTGTATGACATGATCACGAGTAAACAGTCTGCTCCAAAAGATCTGATGTACATCCACTATAGATGCCTCATAATGCCTGATGTTCTTGCTGTCTCTCTCATCGAGCTGCTTCCCAGGGCCTGCCAAGAATTATTAGCTTTATCTCATCCAGCAAAGAGTTTGCTATTCCCACTGATGCTGTACCAAACCACCSAAACTGAAACTGCTGTGCCAGCTCAAGCCTCTGCACAAGGGCAATTTGTTCCTTTGTTTCCAATGCTAATCCAACAAAATCAACAATTCTGTCACAAATGCAGAAAAATCAGGAGAACATAAGAGCTGAGTGCTGGAAAGGCTGAACTCCTCCACCCCAGATCAGCCAGCAGCAAGAAATGATCTGAAACAAAAGCCTGAGTAGCTGTACAGGGAGTAGATGGATGCTGGACAGGCCTGCCAAGGAATATGCTCAGGTCTGCTCCTATTTTGCCATTGCTGCCCCAAATGTCCAGTGCAGATTGAGAAGCTGCCACTTCCAGCACCTTCTGTGTCTGCTGCAGCACTCAGCAGCAGCTGGGTTTGTCCTCTCAAAGCAGCTGCTCAAATTGCATACCATGAACTATTCACCAAGGCACCAACTTGACCCCTCCTGGCTAAAACATGCTGGCAGTGAAAAGCAGATTCCTGTATTTTCATCTTGAGCTGCTGGCATGCACAGCAAACATCATCCTGCAGGCCAGCTCCCCCTGCTCCATAGGGGATGGTGCTGATGCTGGGCTACACAGCTGCTAACAATTGATGGACCCTGGTAAAGCACATCCCCAGCCAATAAACCCCTCACTGGAATGTCACTCCTACCCTGAGAATCAGAGGCACCTCAGGAATGCAGAGCTTCTTTTCTTTTCTAAAAAGGAAAAAACAGCTCCTTTAATCCTCTGCTCTCTGCACATGCTAGGGGAGAGGCTGAAGGGGCCAAAAGAACCTCCTAGAATGCAAACAATTTGTCATCTGGCTCAGAAACTCAGCAATTTTAATTCAGCCTCAGGAATATGCTGTATATGCCTTTGTCCTGTTTTGCACTCAGAGGATTTTGTTGATGYTGCTTGGAGGATTCTCAGCTGCAGGTTGACTGCATCAGCATAACAGCAAGGGGAACAGAAAGACCAGGATAATGGSAGAAAAGCAAAGCCAAAGGTGATGACCATAAATCAGCACCAGACAGAGAGGGGAGGATGTTTGAGGCAGTTCAACATTAGTGGGGAACATTCACTGTCTCTGTTAAAAAGTTCACTTTGTRATACTGCCACTCTCCCATCTTCCTCTAAAGGAAATGCTTTGAGGACACCACAGACCCTGGAGATTCATCATTTATGTGAAAYTGTATTTATTTTACCACCACAGCTTGCTGCAGTCTTTAATTAAACACAATGAAAGAGCCACTTTTGCTGTAGGGCCTCCASTGCAGTGGTGAAGTGAGAAGGTGAGAAACCTCTCATCCATTCCAGCCACAGACTTTGATCCTTTTGGTCTGTGCAGCCACCAAAGGGAACCTCCAGCTCCTGAGCTGGGTGAGGGACACCAGACCCTTTGTGATGACAGTGACTCACCAGCTTYTGGAAGAGGTCCCCAACACGCTGCTGGTGACTCCACTGCTGCACTCGGGGAAAGAGCCCATCATAGAATTCTTTGTGGATCTCATAGAGCTCAGGCACTTTGAAGAATATTGTCTCAATCTGCTGACTKGTCAGCACAGGCTGTGAGGTGGTGGCAGCGGCTTTCAAAGGCTTCATAGGCTGAAATGAGGAAAGAAGGAAATCATTATCATGCAAACCATGAACAKTCACCTTTGCCACACTGCAATGCATGCCTCCATAGAGCTATTTTTCATCCTATTAATAAGTGGTATCTTCATTCACACAACTCCTGAAAGCCAGACATGAACAAGTTCTCTCATGGGGATCAGCCACCCMGGTAGGTGGATTTTTCCAGGTATTAATGCTGCAATTAAAATCCCTTTGCACTCCATTTCCTTAATCTCTGTCCAACTGTACAGCAACACGTGTAATAATTAGCACAGGATAGCTAAAGACAGAGCTCCTGGATACTGCCACACTAACAACTCCCTAACTGTACCATACCCAGTCCTTCCTTTAAGTCCCTCTCTCTGCTGGAGAAGAGGAGTTAACAGGTGCCCTTTGCACCCAGCAACTTGTAACCCATGGTATCTGAAAATTCAGGGAAACATTGGATGGAAGCAGCAGTGAAAATTCGAGTACCAGTGTTTGAACTGGCATCTGTGCCCAGCACTTACCAGCAGCAGGGCCTCCAGGTGGCTCAGGTAGGTTTCCTCACTGGCTAAGATTCCTGACAGGACCCATTTTCTCATCTCCAGGCCTTTCTCCAGGTCTGGCTCACTCTACAAAGAAGTTGTTACAGAGAAAAAAAAAATTAAAAAAAATAAAGAAGGGGGTTGCGGGCAGAGTAAAAAAAAAAAACCAAGAATGAGGATGGAGAGTAAAACATCATTCAGTCATCCAATTGTGGTGCCTCAAATAGGTGACCAGACCTCTTTGCAAAACTAAAACTTAAAAATTCATAATTCATCCTCCTAAACACATCTCAGARCCCTTGTTCTGTGCAATTCCTCCCTTCTCCCACGGGAGTTCTCCCAGGCTGTGTTTCTGGGAGCACACAGGATCACTCCCTCTCCACCTCCCCAGTGTGCACAGACACACCACAGCCACAGCCTGACCTGGCTCCACAGGGCTGTTCTTCCTCCCACTCTCCACTATTCYCTAAATTATTTTTCAGTGCCAGCTCGCACAGTGTCTATTTTTAGTGAAAGGATGGAATAATCAGCATGGCTTGGAATGCACATGCTGATTTTCTTATTGGGATTCCATGAAGTTCTTAACAAAAACAACCAAAGAAAGAGAGGGGGAAAAAAAACCCACATAAATACATTCATGGGCTAATGGGGAAGACTAGCATGAAGTGTTAAGAGAAGCASTAATCCCTTCTGCTGAATTTCAATTATCCTTCCTCTCAACACTGTTACCTGAAAAAGTGTTTAACCTGATAAAGTGAAACTGAGGGTTTCCAAAAACTCCAGAAAACTTTGGTCAAGCAATGAAGGTTATAAATAATGAGAAACATCCCCCTTTTACAGAGCCTTATTCCAGTTCTTTTTATTTCTGTCATTCACAGAAATAGCATTTTACAATTCTTGCAACCTTTTTATGTTGTTAAATGTCTCTAAGAATAGAGTCAGAAGTTGGCTCTGAAAGGGTACATACTTTTCAAGGGATTTGGGTAGGTTTTATGGGGCTCCATCCTATCCTTAATATCCAGAGAAATCTTCAGCTTTTGATTTCACAGTGGGAGGATCAGAAAACAGAGCAGTACACTCCACTCTAATGACTGAACAGCCCTACAGCTTCCCCAAAAAAGCTCCACTTAGTTTAGGGTCCTGTGCAGGTGGACAGATGAGGAACCTGGGCTATAGGTTCAGTTTGCAGGAGCTATCACATCCCGAGTGTGACTCTGAGCCTACGCACAACACAAAGAAAGAAGCAGATCCTCACGCTCCCAGATATTTCTGGATTCTGTCTCATCAATAACCATCCTGATTTTTGAACAGTTTCATTAAATTTCACAAGCTGTATTCTAGCCTAAAAGACTTGCAGCAACTAGTTCATAAAAATCTTGTGAGGTGTCAAATACCACCACCACCTCTTAAATAAAAGTGGCAGACAGAARCTGTTGTAAGGACATGAGTAAGATTTACACACACGTTAGGTACTACATAAAAAGAACTTCTCCTTGCATCCCACCCTTTGGTRATATTCAGTACAGTGCCTTTTAAAACCTTGAAAGGGCATTTCAAAGAAGGCAGAAATTTGTAATTTAGCAGTCAGTGTTCAGAAGGCTTCAGAAAAATACCAGTGCCAAACTCCATGGTAAAATGAACACTGCAGCAGACTCTGTGCACCTGTGGAGCACCCAGGTGAGTGTCACAGAAATGTCCAACAGGGCTATGAGCACTCCTTATGGTTCTGTGCTGGGAGTGTCTGGATGYCCAGCTCATGGACCATTCTGGAAGAAATGTTACACACATGTAATCAAGACAGGCAGCCTCAGGACGTTCCACAAAGATTGCCTTCATCCAAAGAGGAAGGGATGTGGCAGCCCTGGYGCAAGAAAAACACAATTGCTCTTGGTTTCCAAAGATTTCTTACAACGCTTACAAAAGAAAAAGTGCAGCWACACAAAGAAGCATTGAGAAAAACTAACAGTGCTCCAAAGTGCCCACTGCTGGGGATGAGGTAAGTGGTCAATATTGACACAGCACTATAATTATCTTTACCAGGTTCTCTTGGAGGAGGTGAGGATTTAAAAACCAGCTGGGTATGTTTGTAACATCTGTAAAGAGCAGCACACAATCACAAGTTGTTTAAATGACTTAAACTTCCCCATCACAACAGTGGCACAAGAGTTTTCCTTATAGCACTGAGAACAGTTTTCCTCTTCAAGTAAAAGCTTTAATTTACAAGCCAGTTCTTGCTGGGCACCRTCAGCTGACGGAGACAGCATTTTCTGCCAGAATGCTAATTTCCTCCGTTAAAAGAGATGTGCTTTCAGAGACAAACATCTCCCAGGACACACTGCAGGCCTTCCTTCCTGGCCATTACCACCAGGGCAGTGTGCAAAGTCCATGGTTTTGTGCTAACCCTTTTGTAAGAGGAGCATTTTTCCAAGTGTGATGCTTGCAAAAGTCCGGCCTTGGCCACGGCCAGCCAGGACACAGGGCAGGGCCAGGCTGCTTTATGCTCTGTGCAGAGGAAACCCTCAGGGGACTTTATCCAGCAATCACAGGGCACGTTACAAGATCTCCAATGCAATAGCTCAGATTTCCATCGAACTCTGTGAAAAGCTGCTCCCCCGCTGGTGCTGTGTCAGGATCAGTGCAGCATTGCTGTGTGCATTGTGCTGCTGCCCCGTTCCCTCCGGGAGCTGTGTCCTACAGGAGCTCCTGCTGAGGAGCCCTTGGCTCACCATGGGGAACATCTGGAGAACAGCCCTGTGCTTCTTCAGCCTCAGGGGGCTTTTTAAGCCATACTTGTTAGGAAATGTACTCCGAGACTCAGAAATCCACTTGGTGCCAAAACCAGGAGCAAGAGGAGTACGTTTGTCATTTGTTATTCCAACATGGCTCACTTTCAGAGCTGGGACAGGCTCAGCTGCTCACCCAGAGCAGGGCAGCAGTGAGCAGCAGAGGCTGTGGGACTGTCCTCGCAGCAGCCCGTGCCAAGGGCATTGCTGCTCTGCCCATATCTGACCCAGAAGGGAAACAAAGAGCAGCACTGTGACTCCAACAGCYTCGCTGCCCCTCTGTTCCTGCACTCCAGCCACAAGGACAGTTAAGAGGGAACATCCTGGGCATCGGTATCAAGCTCCCCACCAGTACAGGGAGASCTGCCAAGGCTGAGGACTCCTTTCCCCTACCCTGGCAAGAAGGGAGCACTCTGAAATCTTTGAGCTGCTTGTGGCAARTGGAGGAGCTGCTACCACATCCAGCAGACCACAGTAGATGAGGAAAATACACCTATTACCCAAGTGCAGATGGGATGTTCCCAGCAGGAAGTGGGAGCAGCCTGTATTGGCAAACTCCAACCACTCAGCAGGGAGTGCCAGATGGTCAGCAGTCCATCCCATGCTTCCTACCCAGCTTGGTTAGCCTGTTTTCCACTTGTACAAGTCTGACTAGTATTTCATGCTCTGACTGTCCCTGCCTCTTTGATGCCAGCAGCCATGTCTAGCCTTTCTCCATTGCCCTTCCATCTTTTGGCTAGCTCTCTATCCACGTGTTTCACAATAAATCTTTCAGGACTGTACCAGGGCAGCAGCCAGAGCATTCCTGTCTCCCTGCCATGGGAGCTGTGAGGACCCAGCACCCAGCCAGATCTGAACAAGCAAGTAAGAAATCAGGGCTCTGCTCCCACTCCTCAAGAACTACGTTAAAAAACCCCAAAACAATGAGGAAGGTGGAAAGCAGGCTGCAGTAAGTTACACAGGTATCTCACACCTGCAAGATCCTGGTGTTCTGTCTTCTCAACCGGGTGGTGCTTTTTGCTATTCCAAAGACTTAAAAACGGAAAGACTGAGTAACAGTGAGAAAAGCAATCTTGTAACCTGAACCAGGGCCAGTGAGAGGGGATGGAAGCTCTGGAGATATCAGAGCACACATGCTGGCCCCAAGCCATGGCTGGGTTCAATGTGTTTACAGCTTGTCAGCCTAAGTACTTTAGTTTACTAACCAGGTTGGCATCGCGTGTTGTATTCAATTACTGCAAGGCTGACATTCACCAGCTCCAAGGTTTAGACAGATTCAGCTCTTCTTGACTCTGTTTAAAGAACTCAGGGCTTTCTGGTTCTTGTTTAAATTAACAGCAGTAATTGTTTYCTTGCAAATGTTAGAAGAGCACAGATTAAGAATCTAGAAACCACAACACATAAGATTTTGCAAAGAGGTTGCTGCTGGCAGAGCTCTGTAAAGAGAATCAGGGATTCAAAGTGGGCGTATAAAAGGCACTTTAACTCTTCCTTTAGTACAGGGTGTTCATACACCATGCAATGAATGCCTACAAAGGCGAGGTTTCCCGTAAGGACAGCTCGCAATCTCTTACAGAAGCTGACAAAGGAGAAAAACATTCAGTTCAATTTTTAAAGTGTAAATATATTTGAAAGCTTCTGCTGGAGGTGTCTCATTGTCTTGGTGATATTAAACAGGGCAAATTCTGTAATCAAGGCAATCATGCTCCACGAGGGGAGGGGAAGGAGCAGGGAGAGAGCCAACATTATTTATAACATCAGTACTGGTGTGCCAGCTCTCCTCAGGAAGGGCTGTACAATCAGGCAGAGCCCTTAAGGACCAAAGAACTGGAGAATAAAAAGGAAAAACTGCATCTGTTGGGGGTGGTGAGGGGAAAGTGACAGTAAAACAAAAAACRAACAAACCAATTCAAATACTGAGAGGAAGAAAGAAGAATGATTTGGAAATGATGGAGAGGGAAGGACAAGCTAGCAAGAGTAGTACCAGGACGAGCAGTAATCCCATTCATTGCTGGAAGCTTCAGAGGTCACCTTCTCTGGATCCCCTTGGGACCAAGCTAGGAGCAAAATCCATAACCTGCTCTGCCACAGCCCTGCTCTTCCTGAGCTGGCAGACAGCAGGAACAAAAGGATCTGATCTGAGGAAAGGCAATGGCTGCAGAAGCCATGGATGCACAACAGAAAAGGAAAGAGAAATTCTACCTGAAATTCTGTAAGTACCAACTGATTTCTCCTCCACTCAGAACAGACAGTAGGAGGGAGTTGCTCAGCTTTAGCACTCCTGCCTCCCTTGGTTTGAGACAYGCAAGAATTGGAGAGATCTATTGCATCAAAAACTCATCTTTTAAATTCCTGAGAAGGGACTCCCCTCATTTCCTGGGTGGTGGAATGAGCTTTGCCTTCCCACTGCCTGCCCTGCACTCAGTTCCACAGAGCTGCACACACACCTCTGAGCCTGGCGCTGCTGGTCCTGAAGGGGCTTTCTTAACCCTACTTTCCCAGGGCTGCAATCTCTCCTCATTGCCTAGCAGCAATAGTTGATGGTGAGTGAAGCTTCTCCCCTGTCCCAGCCTTCTCCAGCCTCCAGGCTGCAGCTAACCACTCCAAACTCCAGGCAGCAACTCCTCTCTACTGAAGGGTGTCAGTCACTGACTTTCCCGCTGTGCCAACACCCTCCTGTGCCCTAAGAACACTGTGGTAATCTCTCTGTCCTCCTCTAACTTTATCCAGCTATTTTCTCCACTCTTCAGCCTCGCTGKATGGGAAAAGCAGATACATTCTCTCTCTTTCTGGGAGTGAATTATCACTATTTTTTTACCAACAGTCTGACACCTTCTGAAGCTACCAGCACTGTCTTATTTGGCAAACATTTGGGCTGATATTTTCCAAGAGCGGTTTCCAGAATTTCTCAAAAGTTCAATAACAACAGTTCAACTGTTACAGAAAGGAAGGTTTGGGAAAATTAAATCACTTCTCAAGTTAAATAAACAAACAACTTAAGCATTAGTGGAGCCTATTCCTCCTTTTTCCTCTTTCCCTGTAGGCTTGTTTCAGAGCAAGGTTTGGCAAAAGCCCTGGTTTTATGGCAGGACATGCAGGAGCAGCTCAGCACAGGACTCTGGAAGAGCCAGAAGAAGGGCTCKGACCCAACTTGCTCCATGCAAACATTTGTTAAAGCCTCCTCAGCCCACAAGTGACAAGCCAAAGGCTGCCGAGATCCACACTACAAATGCCTGTGTTGCTTGTCCCTCTCTGAGTCACAGACAAAACTAAAGCTGGTGAAACCTTGTCCTCCTGCTTGGACAGCAAGTCTGGAACAGGACGAATGGGAACACGCAAGAGGTGACTGAAGTGGCACCGTTGGGAGGCAGCTCAGGCAGCATCTCCTCACCTGCTCATGTGACACAGGTGGCAGGAGGGATTAGAAAACACTGCCCAGATGACAAAGCAGAACCATCACAATCTCTGTCAGTCAACTGCGACCCTCAATTCTCAGAACACAGAACATGCTGGGGGTTGGTCACCACACACTGAGGGAGCCCCTCCACAAACAGTGCAGGAGCTTTCCCTTCATTCTTGTCTAGAAAGAGACACTGCTTTTGGCATGCTGTGCTTGCTCTAACCCTAATGTGCTACCCAACCAAAGGCTATTGCTCCTCTAGGGAGATGGCAGAACTCAGTCAAACACCTGGCAGAAAAATACAAAGGCCAGAGAGCAAGCCCATAAAATAAATCAAAGCAAAATGTCCTCAATATTCAGATAGCAACAACGCAGTCCCCGAGAGGAAGGCTGGTCTCAGGGATAAGGCAGATGAACATCACACCAAAATGCTGCTATGTCTGTGTGACACTGAGTGAGTTACTTAGATTTATATTTATAAAAAATAAATTTAAAATAYAATTGTTTGTAACATTTTTCATTTTCTGGGTGCCTGACTGGAGTGCTGCTAGCTCTTGGTTGCAAGTGAAATGAAAAGAATTTTACTGTGTTAAAAATCAGAACCTGGTTTGCAGAACATTGTGCATCTCAAGTTAAGCAATCAAAATTAGCAGATGCTTCTCCTATAACCTGTCTGCCTTGCTAACCTGTGGTTGGTAAACACACCATCCTCTTATCTCACAGGAACACTGCAAGGATAATTAAGACCTGTGTAGCATTCCAGCTGTATTAGGATTTCATGGAAATGATTACTTTTGTACCCAGAGCAGAGTTTGCAGTGTCCTGTAAGAGTGCCCACACAGCTCTAGAGATGAAATACTGAATCTGGTGAGTATCRTTCACTGGATCCACTGCACATTGCAGCACCCCACAGGAAAAATGGGATGACAGAGTAATCCAAAGGTATCATAAAGATTCAAGATTTCTTAACTTCTGAATGACTTTACAACCTTAATGTTTTGTCATGGTGTATGTAGTGCATGTACTGTGTTGTTACATACAGTTAACCTGACTTTCACACTCTGGTCATAAAAATAATCTCAAATTTTCAGAAGTAACTGCAGGTACCTATTGAAAACGTGAAWGGGCAAGAAGACAACTATAAAAGCAAACACATGTAAACAAAACATGTTTTCTGCTAATCACATTTTGTGCAAAAGAAAATAGAAGAGACATACATCCTGGTATTTCTGGTCCAACACATTTTATATGTTTGGCTCAGCACAGTGTGTTTGACACTTAATTTTATTCCTGATGTCTTTTCCACTAGAGCTGAAAACCTAACAAGCTCATGGTGTCTGAAAGTTTAACTTGCTGGGGAAATACCTAGATATAAATKAGTTTCTTCCTCCTTGTCATGGACTGTCCAGGGATTGTCATCTGTGAACTAATTACAGACAGGATCGACAGAGGCAACTGAGCTTCATGATTAAAGTCTAATCTGTTTCAGGACACCTTTCTTTTGGRAGCCATAAAACATCTTTTTATAGTCAGAGGAAAGAAAGCCACAATTCATGTTAAAAATTACTTTTGAAGAAGCWGCCTTCAAGCATTATTACAGTAACTTTTAAATTAACTACTGCTAAATGCTTATGAGGCAATATTCAAACAACTAAACAAGATTAAATATAAGGCAGTGTCTCTTCCAGGCCTCCAGTCACAGGCACTATCATAACTGGTTCTTTGAAGATAACTCTCAGCCACGTGTAGTCAYGCAGTGTTTTTCCTTCATCCTAACAAACATAACCTGGAAATCTCAAGCCAATAKTGAAATTATTTTGGAGCTTTTTGAATTTACTAACGATAATTTCTTCATTCAAAAGCCTCTTACATTTCACAAGAATTCTCATCTTGAGAGATAARAAAGCATCTCAAAATTAATAGACTAAAGCATAAGTAGCTAACTGAATTCCACACTTTACAGTCAAATAAAACTAAGCAAACAGCAACCATATATAATCTTTAAGAGTTCTCGACAATGAATTTTATAAATGAGAAAAAACAAGGACACTGTATCAGGAAGGATTCTTAGCCTAGAATTCATGCTGGAAAAAGGAAGCATAGACATGACAGTAAACAACAGAGAGCAGAAGGATTTGTATAATGAACACTAAGCACCCATGGTTTGTGGAAATTCTCAGACTCTTGACTTTTGATGCAAGATAAATAAAATCACCTGATAATGGTGATGGTGTTGATTTATATGTACAGTGGTATCTCTAAACTATCCATCATTATCTTCCATGACATCTTAATTAACAGGAAAGAACAATATAAAAGCAACACATAAGTTAAAACACGGAGATGACAGATTTCAAAGAGTTATTTACAGTGTGGGAATTCCAGGTTGTTTGGCACACTTTCTTAGAAATACAGTAGGAAGGAAGTGACAGTTGGCTTTGTGCTATTAAGCATTTTATGAATGATTTGGAGAAATCAAAAGTTCAAAAATGACGAAGATATTCAGRGAAACAGTAACTYTGGATTCAAGTGCTCTGCAACRTATTGCAAAGGGATAAAAAGAAASAAAAGGCTGAACATCAAAGAGATTAATCCAAGCTGAAACCAAAACATTTTGGACTGTGAAGACAGCAGAGCCAATAGTTCTTTACCAAGGCATACAGATGACCCCCTGGGAAGAGTACTGTAAAAACAAAACCAGAAATTTTCCTGAGGTTCCAAGCTATGGCCATGCTACTGAACCTGCAGCACAAGCAAAGCAAGGCAGACTTTGGGGTCATGTGTCCCACAGCGCTGGCAGTCCCCATCTGTCCCTGTTAAAGCCCCATGCAAGCCTCCAAGGCTTCAGTGACCCCAAAAAGGCAGGGAAGGACTCACTGATTTGGTGGATTCCAGCGAGCCTGAGGACAGCGTGTCGCGGCTGCCGCGGCTCTTGGAGCTCAGGTGGGGCGAGGAGGATGGCGAGTCGTCGATGTAGGGCATCATGTCATGGTGCCGCCTCTGCTCCTCGGCGCGGTCAGCATCGTACGCGTAGCCAGGCGGGGTCCCCCCGAACGGGGCATCTGCAAACACAACACGCGGTCAGTGCAGCTGTGGGGCACAGGGCAGGGCACAG